TATCTTCAAAATTGTTAGAAATCCAAGAAAAACAATTGATAGGAGTTATAAAAAATCATCAAAGTGCTATCGGTTGGGCGATAGCGGATATAAAGGGTATAAGTCCTCTTCTATTGGAAGATAATTCTCATGATTCTTAGATACTTAAGATATACTTAGAATTTTGGATTGCACTATACAAGATATCCAGCTGTACTAGAAAGGTATAGTGATGCTAAATGGATATCTGATATGAAAGATATAAAATCTACAAGTGGTTATGTTTTTACACTTAGTGGTGCAACTGTATCTTGGAAATCCTTTAAGCAAATGCGTATTGCCAAATTTAAATTTATTACTTTAGACAAAGTAAGAGAAGAAGTTGAGTAGCTTCGTCAATTTCTAGAGGATATTCCAATATGGCCTAAACATGTGCCAGTAGTTTGTATCCATTGCGATAACCAATCTGCAATTGGTAGGGCACAGAGTAACAGGTATAATGGTAAGTCTAGATATATGCATCATAGACATAATACCGTTAGACAATTGCTCTCAAATGAGATTATTTTTATTGATTATATAAAATCAATGGAAAATATAGCAGATTCGCTTACCAAATGTTAGACCAAAAAGCAAGTAAATTACACATCGAGGAGAATGGAGCTAAACCCACCCTATGACTTAAGAGTCACCTTAATGGCAAACCAACGTAGTTAATTGGAGATCTCAAGATCCAGGTTCAAATGGACAACCGAATTATGCATGATTTAAAAGAAGCACTTAGGAGATAATCTTTCCTACTTATTCCTATGATAAACTAGTGTTACTTGCAAAGTTTATTATGTCACGTATATGGGTGTGAAGGGGCAGTTTTTTATGAGCATTTATAAAGGCTGAATTCTCTAAAGCACTCATGAAAATTAGGAGTTGTTCAAGGCTAAAATGAATACAATCATCAGAACCAATTGTGTTAGGAAAGAGACTATGCGAATCTATTCGATATGATTTATTAAAAATAGTTGAATAGTTCAAGACATCACATTCACTATTTAGCCGGTAAGTTTGATGGGCTTTCACTAGGGAAGATTTAAAGCCACAAACTACCTATCTCGATGCACTATCTTTCTAAAGATGTACTCTCTATAGTGTGTCAGCATTATCATTTGTTTACTAATAGCCAATTTTCCATTCATGTGAGGGATTGTTGGACAAAAATAGATTTTTGATTGACTTTGAGCCTAAATTAAAGTGGGACCCCTCTCATTGTTTTAAGTAAATTTTAGTGGGTTCGTGTTTTACTCTATGAGGAGAATAACATAGTATATTCACTTGCTCAAATTGAATAAGAAATGAATGAGAAAATATGCTATAAAATGACCCTATTGGAAAATGAGAAATAGAGGTTGTGCAATGTGGGATTTGACATCAATCTCACATTGGTTGAGGAAGAAGTTCTACATGAGCATATATAGGTCAATTTTGCTCTATGGGATTAGGCCCCAAGGGGTATCACAATTTTATGGACGGAGCGAGCGCCTACATGCCTTTGATTCAACCATATGTGTGCGCGCGCTGTCTACCCTCCCTCACCACGACTTGACCCGATTGGGCCGGGCTTAGGCTCGGGTATGGGTGTTGTTTAAGACCAAGCCTTATCTTTTTGAAGAAAATTTGTTTAACGAATTGAGCTTGAATTTCTAAACCAAATTTAATTTTGATACCCGTTAGATTAAGGCGGTCATCCCGCCATTTTTGACTTTAGGTCGAACCCACAGGGAGCTAACTAGTGGATTTCAAAATAGGAAAGGTAAGATTGTCTTGTATGTAGTGTGCTTCATAATAACTTGTGGTGTAAACTTAGAATTATCTAATAAATTCTTAACTTAAACTCTTGATAACAGTAACAAAATGTACTCTTTATTTCGGGGATCCAACATGCATTATATTGTTTGATTATAAAAATGTCACCTTATAGCAATTAACTCTCATCTGATTGGAAAGTTAACTGATAGGTTTAATTTGTAACTGAACTATATCACAACAACTAATTAGGTTAGTCGGAAGGTCTATGTACCATACAACAACCAAATAACTCTAACTTGAAGGTGAACCATTCAAAATGTTTACTTTAACTATTCGATTGGTAGGTCAATGATTTAATGAAGGTGGAGTTCCGATTTATGCATTGAATCAAAAACATTAGCTATGACAAAATTTAACCCGTCTATAACCAACCTCCTCAATGTTACATAAAATTCAACTACATACATTATTGAATCATGCATGAAGTACGTAATAACTTATAGATAGAATGGTATATAGAAATAGGCTTTGCTCGGTGTTCATAACTATGAGCATATAATAGTAATAATCATTTATCAATTAAGAGATGTATAAACATTAATGCATAAATAAAACATCGACATTTTCATAACCCAAATAATATTACACATGCTTTCACCCTTCACCAAAGAGCATAAACAGACTACTTACACTTCATCGCTATAGACGAGCAAGAAGAATGAGATAATCCCATTACAACGGAAAACAAATACAAGAAGTCATTCCCCGAGGAATTGTTTAAACACCCTCACTCTTATTACCAGCTTGGGCACAAAAGTGAAAGAGGTTCAATCCTCCAAGTAGAAAGGATGAAACAAAAATGTAGAAATAAAGAAATTTTGGCTGGGAAGTGTTTGGGGCAGGGTTTCGTTCTTTCTGGCAACAGAATTCCCTTGGGGAGTCTTTCTTTCTCTCTTCCCATCCTTCCATTCTCTCCTTCTTTGATTGTGTTTTGAATTAAACTGAGGCGGGCTATTTATAGACACCAAGGGGGGTTGAGGCGGCAGACACCCAAACTGGCCAATCATAATCTTTATTGCATTGCCGAACCAATGGGAGGAGAAAGAGAGGTAAGGTGGTTTAGCCACCGTTCGGACTCCACCACCACCATCCAGATGATGGTTATCCTCTGTTTTCTTGCTCCTTGACTCCTTTTGCTGATTTTCAGTGATTTGCCACCGTCCGAACATCGTCACCACCGTTCGGACAGTGGAGATTCTCTAATTTTTGCTTTGCCAACCCTCCTCTATTGACCTTTTAACTTTTTAATTGTGCTTGCCTTCCTTTTCTTGTTTCGCCTCTGCACTTTTATCCCTTCGAACTTCGTCAATCATCCTTGAAACCCTACAAAATAGATAAATTAGACATTAACCCCAATATACTTTATAATTCAATCACTTTAACCTAATTTATGCACACATTTAACCCTAAATTTTAATTCATTACTGCACTATTCAGGGTTAATCATTACACATTGGTGTCTTCTATTTGTATGTGTTTCTTTTGGGTTGCGTCTTTTCGCATGGTGACTATTCAAAACAGTCATCACTTTGTCTATATAAAACCAGACTCATTACCATTATGCATAAATCATTTTCGGAGTTAAGGCAGACATTAGTACATTGCATTTCAGTATTAAGAAAGTCTGTATTTGGAGAGTACATAATATAATTTTTGGTTTATTGGGTGAGTAGATTAGAGTGCTACTTTTATTCGCATTAAGATCATTGTATCTTAGGAGACAAACGTTTTGATTTCTATAAACATCAAGTGTGAGGGCGAAATCTGTTTTAAGGACATAGTGTCAAACACTAGTATTGATCTAATTGAAGTTCAATAACAGTTATTATTATTCATTATTTAAATTGCAGATTTATTGTGTTACTGTTTTGTTCGTATCTGTAACTATTTTGTACTCGTAATATTTTTGTTCTTCACTATTATTGTTTTGTTTTAAATTACGTGTTTCAAATTAAAACTTTTAATAAGTGATTTTGCTATATTTGAAATACCACAAACAACATACTCGACAAACGCGCACACACACACCACGTGCACAAAACATACACACAAATAGCACACACAAACATACGCGGACAATACACACATAGTCACAAACATCTACACACAAATTGGCATTTCTCATAAAATTGGGTTTGTGAAATTAAAACTTGTGTTTTTTCTGAAAGATGTTTTTGTGAAATTATAAAATTGAATGTATTTTAGGGTGATCAAATTGGATGGTTAATTTGGGTGTTAATGGGGGTTTATCATTAAATGGGGGTTGCAATATACGTTTTTAGTGTTTTTGATTGAATGTTGGGTGTTAATTTCATGCAATAATATTTGTAGGGTTTTTGGATGTTAGGGTTTTTTAATCCCTTATTTTCAGTACCATATCTCCACTTGTCATCCTATAAAAAAATAACATAGGTAAAATTCTCTTATTTTTTTATTTTTACAATCAATGATTATAAATCATTCAAACCAAAATCAATAATTGGAGATCAATTTATGTAGCATATCTTTACGGTACCGTACCCTTATCTAGGAATTATGTATACGGAATGGTTAGCATCAAATGTTTGTCATAAAAAAAAAAAAAAAAATGTTGTGGGGGTGCAGTTCTGATGATGGAGTGCAGGAATCAATAGCTTGCATATCCAAGCTTACATTTAGCTTCAACCCATCGGGGTCACACGTTAGTGTAACTCAAATGGGAAATTTTCAGTGATTACTCTTTCAAAGTTTCATGTTCGAGACTTGCAAGAGAATATAGACTAAGATGATTGCATTCACCTCAAGTTTGCATTGTATCCACTAGTTCAAATGGCATCTAATTTAAAAAATTAAAAAAACTAAAAATTTAAAAAATTGGTTACTGACTTTGTCTAAACTTGATAGAAACTCCGCATGGCCTTTAAGCAGACTAAAAAGTGATCCGACTGTTTCTCAGTTTTTTAATGTGAATTGTTGCTGAATTAGCATGCTTTTCACGAGCGCTCAATTTACATCTCTTTTTGCTTGTAACTTGAACTGTATACCCCGTAAGTACATAACTAGTGCATTTGCTTCCCAGTCTTGCCCAGTAAAGTTGACAGCAACAAAAATATGTATAGTAAAGGAGCAGTAAAAACTTGAAAACCCACCAACTGTGACAGAATAATAATAAACGAGCACTTAAAACATAAGAATACCAACTAATTTCCACATGAACAGTTAAAACAACACAATTAGCTGACAATGCATTTTCAAAGCTTGTTTTCTTTACACAAGTGCTGCACAGATTTACACTCCAACAAAAAAATGCTAAATTATTCATCACTCATGGATAATCACCGATACATAATTGGGGTGCGTAATTTTGCACCAATGAATGTCCATAGCCTAGAAAATGACACGATTGCTTTGCTTACCAAAAATGCCGCGGCCATAAGTGGATTTGATCATATCCACAAGGAGGGGAAATTGCAAGGATGCAAAAAAGATCACAGGTAGACTAGCCAACGCAGCCACAAGAGCAAGAATCCAAGTTTTTTTATCTCCAAAAACAATATAAAGTGTGGCTCCAAAGGCTACCATCATAAATATTATGGAAAGAAATAGGGTCACAAGACCTATAGTCAGTCTCTTGGGTAGCGCATAGAGAAAGTCGCCTTCTGCATAACGTGAAGTGAGGATGGATAAGAACATTAACAAAGAAGAACTTGAAGAGAAAAGAGCTAGGGCATCTGATATGGCAAACACTGTGAAGGCTTTGTCTTTGGAGAAAACTGGAAGGCCAGCACTATTGTTTCCACCTGGTACAGTAATGGCAGCAGCAAACACAACTGTAACAATTAATGCTGCTACAATTGTGCATGAATTGGATGTGTCTTTCATCCATTGCTCTCCTTCTTTAACTAACTCCTCGTGTGTCTCTGTAAATAACATCCTTGGTGTCTTCCCCATGTTGTTCATCCGTTCTCTATCTGGAACCAGAGTAAAATTTTCTACTTCCTACATAATTGGTGATTTTTGAATTAGAAAGCAAGTGTGCAACGCATTGAGTGATTCTTTATAAATATCCAAGGCAAAATTTCTTTTGTAGGTATCATCACTCCATAAAATAATAGTTAAATGATATGCACATAAAACGTGTAGAATTTAACAAAATAAATTGCAATAAAACTCCCTAATAAATTTAGATTTATCATGTTGATACTTCAGACAATTCAAGGATTTAACAACACCACCCTCTCCTTGGAACAAACATTAGTAATGTTAACAGAAATGGCTTGCATCATCAAAATTCATCAAAAAATGCCAGTTTCCTCATTTAGAATACATTAACTCCAAATCCAAAACTTAGCATTGAAACAAAATAACCTATATATCCAAACACCTTCTTCCTCTCTCTCTCTCTCACATACACCCCCCACCCCCCCGGGGGGGCAGGCGGCATACACAAGGATATACAGCAACACAACAGAATAATGGTAGTGTTTTTTCTCTCGAGTTGCGATGTTTGAGCTCATACAAAAGTGGGTCTTCGTCTCTTGGAAACTCTCAAACCCACAAATTGGTGGATATGGTAGGGATTGCACAGAAGAAGATGGCTATAGATAGGTGGTTAGAGAGAGGGAGTAGAGAGAGAGGGAGTCTAGAATAAATGCGTTTGAACTAGTGGTCTTGGTTCTGGCCTCGTTCTCAACTTTGATTAATTAGTTGGCTATGTTGTTGGGCTTAGATTGGTCTCAATATAGGAATGTATTGATTGTTCTTGGAGTCATAGGATGGAGGGGTTGGATTGATTGTTGATTTCTGATGGCAAAAAGTAGTGGTTGTTGTGAGATTGGAAGGAGAATTGTTGCGGCAGGCAGAGGGAAGGGTTTGACTCTTGCTCTCTTCTATGTGCTTTCTTTTTGTCAAAAAACAAAATTGACCAATCAAATTAGGGGTAAATAAGTAATTTCATCCCAATCATTTATGTCAACAAGGATGTGATCAGATAATTAACTCATATATAAGGATTTGTCATTGAATTTACTATTATATCAACTTAGTCCAACTGAGACACAGTATACAAAGAAACATTACTAATTACTTCAACCATATACATGTTTCAGATGCCAGATTAATTCAATTAGTATAACTGCATGCAGCATGTGCATTATGATAGTTATGAACTTGTTACGTTTGTAATTTTCATTCACAAAGAGTGTGTGTGTGTGTGTGTGTGTGTGGACTGTGTTCATGAAAAGTCAATAAGAGGAAGGTTATTTTCACAATTATGTGTGGTATCTTAGGCTATTAAAAGTATATGGATTAAGTTCATACAATGCTTTCATCACATAGAGTGCTGTCATACTTGTTTACCCACCTTGAATAATGTTAACTAAGTTTTGAAAATCCTCAAAGGGATTTCAACTATGCTTATCACTATAATGTGAAAATATGTGAATCAATTGCTTTGAAGTCATAGGCTAGTGTAAAATGCACTACATGGTATTGTTTTGTCAAGTCTAAGTTTATTTACCTTGCCTACACTGATATAATATGTTTGTTTCCATTGCTATGGAGATATGAACTAGGTGACATTCGATATGTATGCTTAGACGAACAGCAGCATGAGCCATAAGTGAGTTAAGATACTATCTAAATTTGTATGATGGGTTTGCTAATATGAATCGACTATGTAAAGTTTCAGGAAAACGAAGATCTGAAGCCTTGAAGTTAATGAAGCCTGTAAGCTCTTATCTACTTGGGTAATGATGTTGGGATTCCAGATTACTTTATCTGTTAATCCTAACACCTATTCTTAGTAATTGAGCGTTGATTAGATCAAATATTCGAATCCTGCTCTTAGTGTTGTGAGAGGATAAAGCCTCTCTCTAACTTTTCTTCTGCTCTTATTATCCAATAACCTATGCGCTTATCATATCAGCAAAGGGGGCTAGACACCAACCACTAAGGAGCACTGTTCAATAATCACATCTACCTAGCGTAGTTAACCAAGCTATGCCAAGTAGGGCAATGCTTGCTTAAGCACAATGGAAATGACATGAAATATATTATATTCCTATTATAAAAAAGATTCATTTGTTACCTTAAACCACTGTAATTCAAGTTGCATCTGTAGAGCTGCACCAGCGGCACGAGCTCTGAGATTCAGTTTCTGTTGACTTTCCAAACAACCAGCCAAATGTAGACCATTATTCATTGTGCTATCTACTGTTGAGATAAATAGGTTGCTAAATTCCTCGAATTGATAAACCAGATTGAAAATATTTTCACGACGATTCACAATTGCAAGATGGAAAATTGTCTGGTTAAACTCATTTTTAAGATAAATTGCACCAGGAAATGAACTTAAAATCTCTTCAACAACTTCACGAACCCCAGTAATTGCTGCAACTTTTAGTGAAACTCCAAATATTGACGCAGCTTTTGAGTAATCCAATTTCACAATTTCCATACAAAGGAGTTTCACAAGTTGAACTGCTTGATGATGTATCACTTTTATCTCTTGGATGTGCTTGATCTGTGGCACTGCAATCAAATGAACTTAAGGCAAGATATCAACAATATTTAATGTGGCTATGAACATGAAGTAGCCATTAGCCCATTACATACCTAATTTTCCTGTAAGTTTCCAGAATTTTGAATGCAAATTTTGCACCACTGTACATAACCATAACAACCAAGAATTAAATTGTTTGCCACGAAAAAACAAAAAATTCGTATGTACCAAATCTGGTAGAAGACTTTAGTAAACAAATCTCAAGAATACAATTTTCCATGTGTAGTGCATAGTCTTCCACAAGGGAAATAAAGTAATGTCGAGCCAGCTAACTTGGACTACGAGACCCTGAAAATAGCTAGTTTCGTACAAGCCCCGGTCCCATACTAACAGATTTGGACATAATACGGTGCTCAAATCGACATGATTATGGACTACAACAGCCTGAGGCCCTCGCCTTCAAAAAGCCACATAAACTTCATGTAGTTTGTGGACTAAAATACATACTTAACGACGTTAAGGGAAAGATCTATAACCCCACTTCTTCTCCGGCAGCTCCCGCCTCCGCTTCTCAAAACCCAGTGAAACAAAAAATAATCATCCTGTGCATATCAAAATATGCTCCTGCACAGATCTCATCCTCACTTGCATTCACCAAACTTTTAGAATTTATGACCAATAAATATTATTTTTTGAAAAATTAGGTAGCAACCAAATGCAGCTGAGTGGAAGCTAAACAAGTGCTTTGCACAATATCGGTTTTTAATTCTGCCAACAAATCCCCACTCTCCATAATTCACGACAACTTTTGAACATCTAAAATCAAAACTTGAAAAATGAAATAGCAGAAAGTGAATCGAACCTAAATCAAATCAACCTACTGGAAATCAAATTTGATCCACTACGAATCAAATTCCAGAAAACTAATCAAATGAAATCGAATTGAAATGGAACCGCACCATATTGCAACCAAAATAGAATAGAAGAAAAATAGCTTATGGATCGAAATCAAAATCAAAGAAGCAGTCAACCCCTATTCTATTCTGCCATCATTTCTGCATGTGTGACTGGTTTTCGCATTCACCATCCTTCATCGGTTGTGCATGCCTCTGTAAGTCTATTTGTAATTGTTCCTTTTAATTTTATTTGCGCTAGGTTTGAAGTGGGTTTGTTGAAGAGGGATGCTACTGATGATGATGGATGGGGAGTACGGGTGTGTAAGAATCCAAAATTTTGACTTCGGTCCGCCTCTGCTCGAATCAGAGGTAGAGTTATAAATCCTTTCCAAAAAAACCTCAGACTCTTTACTTTGATTTTTATTAAATAATAATTTATATAAATTATAAATTATATAATATTTAAATCTAAAAACCCTATCTTTGTTTGTTTCTAAAATCCATATCTCTATCTAAGCCCACTGCCCAGGCCCACCAGGGATGGGTTCAAGTTTTTATTTTATTATTTTGAGGGGTGCCAAATAGAGAGGCAATGAGATATTTTAATTAAATACGAGTTATTCAATAAAATTGTTAATGTAAAATTTTCAAATGTATAAAACCTATTCAAATTAACATCACACGAAACATTTTTGTATTTTTATTTTTAATAAAATTGGTAAAATTAATTGAAATTAGTCGAACCAATTGGACATAAAAATTAGATCAACTCATCACATAAGCATTGGAATCCCCGAGTACAACTAGATTTCATTGTACCTTTGAAAAATGCAAAGAGAGAGAGGAGAGTAAATATCTCAAATACATATTCTATAACGGTTTTAAACTCTATTTATATGGTGTTTGAATATATCATAGTTTGTCCTCTTAAATCTAACATTAATTTTATTTTACAAAATTTACCGATGCATGCAAAATGGTTCAATGTGGTCAAATAAATAGTCGAGGATAAAATAAAATTAAGATTAATATAATTCAAGGGTAGAAAGTATAATTTAAAGAATTTGATGGACATATAAATTGTAATCAAAAACAAAATTTTAAATGTATGATATATAATTTGCAAAACTTGAGGGGGCCATGGCCCCCCTAGGCCATAACTTAGTTCCACCTTTGCAACCCACACCCACATGTTCCACATTTATTTTTCTTCTCTCTCTCCCTCCCTCTCACAAGCGCACACACACACAATTGAGTTGACGAAGAGCAACCCTCAATCTCTCTCTAGCCAACAAGTTGATCTAAGATTTCAACAAACCAGCACAAGCGAAACTCTCTCAGATCTCCGGTTGAATCTCTCTCAAATCTTCGACTGAAGTTGAGACAATAACTCTCTCTCTATGTTTATATATGTGTATATTTATTTTATTTTCGGCCACATTTGTGTTTCTTCCTCTCTTTTGGTCTCTCTCAAACGACAAGGATGCTCTGAATCTCTCTCTCACACACAGTTGAGTCGCTGAAAAGCAGCCCTCCATCTATTCGGTCGATGAGCAAATCTTAGATATATTGTGCAAACATTTGACAAATTTCTGATTGTTTATTTTTTATTTTTTTGGATTGTATCTATTTTCGAAACTCTGCTCCACCTCCGACAAGGTGGAATTGAGGCGGAGGTATAGTAGTTCGAAGTCAGAGGTCGGATGTGTGCTCTCCGACTTTGTCGGAGTTGGAGCCCAACCCTAGTAGGAAGGCGGGTTGTTAATGATGGTGGTGGGTGCAGCTTTGCATATCTTTGCTGGCAGATACATCTAGAATGAAGGAGGGTAATTTTGTCTTTTTAACTAATATTTGTAGACCCAATCTTCTATACTCTTAAATGATATTACAATGAAAATAAAGGGAGAAAATGGTAAAATTGGTTATTTCAATTCCACTATCCAATAGGCATTCCAAACTGCTGGGTAGTTACATGTGACAACCCAAAATCAAGAAGAAAAAAAGAATTAAAAGGGCAGTAATATATCAGGGACAAGAATCAAAATTTTATTTCGGTGTATTGTTTTGGTCACCTAAGAAACAGAAACGTTTCGACGTGTTTTAGAAACGTTTCGACCCGTTCGGAAATATAATGAAAAAATAAAAATTTTAAAAATTATTTTTTAAAAAATTGATCGAATTATATCAAAATATCTTAAAATACCTTGAAACATTCCAAAAAAAAATTGTGCAAATGCATTGAAATATTACAAAACATCTCAAAACATTATGGAATACTTCAAAATATTAGAATTTTGATTCCATCACTGGTTCGTTTCGGACGTTTTAACCGTTCTGAAACAAAATTTTAATTCTTGACTATAGATAGATTTATTGGAGACCTAATAGGACATATGGGGATCCGACAGTGTTTGAATAGTCATGGGTGTCTATTTTATCTTTATCTTATCAATTCCTCACCCTATAATTGGCGCCGAGTACAACTTAATTAGTTACCAGATTGTCAGATTATAAAGCATCTATATAGCTCTTTGTTCATAGATATAAGTACGGTGTACCGACGTAATTATGTTGTATTGAACCATATATATCTTTTGGTTTTGTTTTATTATTTTTCCTATCCCTATCTCCCAAAAAGTGGTATCCATGTTGAGTAATCGCTGCACAAAACTAGCAAGTGATATCAAAACATGTTGTTAACCAACTCGTGTCAACTTAATCAACGCTAGATTGATGACCCTGAGTTATTAGAGCTCAATTGACGATCCTGGATCAACCCAATCAAAGCAAATTGTTGATTATGGCGGGTCAACTTTATCATATCAGATTGACAATCATAGAGAAACTATCAAAGCAGAAATATAGGTGATTATTGTTAAACAACAAGACTTGTTTTTGTTATGTCATCTTCTTCATGCCTTTTGGCAGTAGAAGTTCTTGGTGTTCAATACTTTTTGATTGCAATAAGCAATCAAAAAGGAGAGGTTCCTCTAGTGCGTACATTAAGGAAGCAATCTTAGGATTTTTTGATGAAGTGTATGGATCCCGGACGAATATCATCAACACATGTGACTGATGAATTGTTGTAGAACTCAAGTGATGTAGTGTACTAATGTTGAAGATGGTTCTTCAAGAATTTGGGCTCTTACAGTTATAACTATGTTAAGGGAGATACTAGGTCGATATCCAGTCAATATTGATATGGTGTCTCATAGGTTTACGGGTCAAGACTTTTTACTTTGATAGATTGATGAAGTAGTTTACCACTGAGTCCTCCTAGGAATAGGTAAGATGCGGACTGAGACACATAGACAACGGATCTTGAAATATAAAGAGGATTGTGGTAGACTCATAAGAGAGGATTTGCACGTGATACTTGAAAAAAGTAAGTGGATCAAGATCAATAGGGAGCTAAAAGTGATGTGCTTCACACATGAGTGGGAATTGTTGAGTAACTACATGTTAAACCCAAAATCAAAGAGGAAAAGTACAGCAAATTTACTAATGACTTGATATAAAATATAGAGATCCGACAATGTTTGAATAGTCATTAGTCATGAGTGACTATTTTATCTTTACCTTATCAATTCTTTACTCTATAAAATGGGGTTGAACGCACCGTAATTAATTACCAGATTGTCAGACAAAAAATACCGATATAACTTTTTTGTTTATAGATGTACGTATGGTATACTGACACAAGTACGTTGTATGTAACTACGTATATACTTTTGCTTTCTTTTATTGTTTTTCCTACCTCACACTAAGGGTGTCCATGAGCCGAGCCGAGCCGAGCTAAGCTAAGCCCGCGAAATTATTTTCGGGTTGGGCCTAGGTAGGGTAGGCCCAAGCCCTCACCCCGGTGAGTTATTGGGTGGGCCAGGCCGGCCTTCAGGTAGATTTGGCTACTTGCAACCCAACCCGTGAGCCTATTGGGTAGGGGACTTTTTGGGCGGCCATGGCAGGCTTGCTCAAGGGATTTTTTATATACAACTTCATTTAAAAATAATAAATACTTTTGTAACTTAATATTTTTGAATCAAAAGTATAGTCAAAATGGACAAAAAATAAATAATGAATAATTTTATTTTTTAATGGGGAAACTACATCACAATAGAATGAGCACATTCCAACTAAGTTGACACATACCCACTTATCTGTCATTTGTACAACTCTACCCTTTAAAACGTGTATACTTAATACATGAAAAAAAAAAATATATTATTTATAGTTTCTAAATTTCTAAAACATCAAATTTTGGCATTAGGGGACTTATTTCAAAGTTTCAAATTCAATGGTCTAATAGTCTAACTTTTTTTTCAAAAGAAGGGTGGGTGGGCAGGGCGGGTTATTGAGCCGGGTAATAGATTTGGAGGCAAGCCCAATCCCTTTTTTTTAAGGATATTGAGCTTGGGCTCGGGCCGGCTAACTATCAGGCCTATT